GGTGACAGGAACACTGGCCCTGGGCTGGAAGTCCGGAGCTGCGGGTTCTAGTCCTGCCTCTGCTGGTAACTTATTGTGGGGTCTTTGGTAAATCCTTTCCCTTCTCTGGATTTCAGTTTCCCCATCTGTGAAATGCAGAATAATCTCCAAGTTCCTTCTGATTCTGGATTCTGTTTATGGGAAAGAGATTATGCAGGATAGCTGGGCCAATGTATTAGACAGCCTTTGTAAGCTTCAAACAATATCACTGGTCTCATATTATCATTATTATTACAGAGGCCACCTCCCCAGGACTTGGTGACTGCATTAGAAGGGACAAGAAGGAGTCAATTAACTACAACCATAGGGCTTGGGGTAGGAGTCAAGGACCTCTGGGCCTTGGGGAGGTTCAGCTAACCTCTCTACTCCTCCCCCAAAATCAGTGTTCTGTGTGCTGTCACCTCCTGAATTGCTTCCTCATTCCTTCGAGCCACACCTCATACTTGGCTAAAGGAAGCAATTGGTTCTAGGAAAAGTTAGACTCTGTCCCTTTCCTTTTAATGTTCCCAGGTGACACCAGGTGTGGTCCTTTCCTTAAATAATAAGTATCATCGGCTTATACGGAAATAGCCAAGACTATTGAGCACTATGTGCTAAGCACTTTACTTACATAATTTTCTCACCCTGAGCGGTAGCTATAATTAGTATCTTCATTTTATAGACAAGGACACCATGGTTCACTGAGATTCGCAATTTTCCCACAGTCACACAGTTTATGAGAGGGATTGCAATACAAGTCTGTGATGTCAAGGCTGCAGTCCTAAAGGCTTCCAGTATTTTACTATGTATTTTTACCACAACTTAGGAAAGAGGGCAAGGTCAGTATGGTCTCCAGTTCACAGCCAGGAAAACTGAAGCTCAGAGAGGTTAAATTAAATCACTTGGACAAGTCAGTGAAGTCCTTCCACATGCAGTTCAGTCTTCCCTGCACTCTCTCCCTCCCCTCTGACCCAGCAGCGCTTTCCTCCTTCCCCTGAACTTTCCACGGCCTCCCCAGTCCTCCTAGGCCAGATGGGTAGGGACTTGCCCAGACCACTTAAGAAAAGGACTTTTACTTGTCCTTTTCCTGGGGTGGGGAAAGGGAAGACGTTCTGAAAGGCAAAAGCTAGTTCCCACCTCCTCCCTCATCACCACCAGCACACACCCACCCAGCCCAGGGCCTCGAGGTGCTGGTGCAAAGGCTTCCAGAGTGAGTCACACAAAGCTGACCTGACAGTCACCTGAGCACCGGTGCTAAGCTTAGGTTAGAGCTGTGGAAAAGTAGGCTGACTGTTCTCATCCGCAGGAGAACGGCCTGACTGCAGCTCCGACCCCCCATTCATCTCATCCCCAAACATTGCAAATCTTTAGAGAACACTGTGCAAGGCCTGGGAGCAGAGGGGACACATGACATGTAAGAATGCATTCCACCCTTCAGAGGGAATAAAACAGTGAGCAAGAAATACTTGTAAAAAGTGAGTGGGGCACATGGTGATTAATTCCGAGGAGAGAAGCTCACAGCGGAGTTGAGATCGGACTGGAGCATTAAAGGGTGACTTGAACACACAGAGGTAGAGGGGCGCTCCAGGCTGCAGGAGCCCTAAAGCTTAGATGTATCTGCACGTCATCTAACAGGCGATAGGGAGGCATGGGGTACACTCTGGCTTTGGAGAAAGACTGTCTTGAGTTTGAATCCTGATTCTGCCCCTTCTCAGCTGTCTGACCTTGGGCAAGTTACTTAACCTCTGTGGGAGAGACAGTATTGTCTCCTCTTATTTGCTCTCCCCCTTCCCAGTAAGATTACACATTCTAGCCAGTTGCCATGTGACTACAGAGGAAGGAGCACACTTCCCCAGCCCTAAGTCAGGCCTGACCACATGACTTCCTGTGGCCAATGGAATTGGAGCTGGAGAGATGTGTGCCAGTTCTAGGTAGAAACTTGGAGAGCCATTGCATGTTGCAGTCTAAAATCAATCTCTTTTTATTTCTGCCACTGTGACCTGGATGGGGTCTTCAGCCTGGATCTTGGAATGAAAAGACACGAGAGCAGAGCTGCAGGCAACCCACAACTGCCCCACAGCAGTGATGTGGAACATGAGGGAGAAAATTTGGTGACGCAAGCCACTGAGATTTGGGGGTGGTTTGTTATCACATCATAACTGCATAACTTTGTGATTTTAGTAGTACTTACCTTCACAGAACTGTTGTGAGGATTAAATAAGGATGATCTTGTAAAAACTGTATAACCATTTCATCAGAAATTTGCACTATAAAATGATCACTCTGCCCACACATATATGGACATTTGCTACACAACAGAAATGATATTTGCAAAAGAATAGTGGAGGATGGTGTCATGGGTTGAATAGCATCGCTCCCAAAATTCATTTCCACCTAGAATCTCAGATTATGAGATTATTGGAAATAAGGTCTTTATAGATATAATTAGTCAAAGATCTCAAAATTAGCTCATCCTGGATTTAGAGTCAGCCCTAGTGCAGTGTCTGGTGTCCGTATAAAAAAAAGACACACAGAGACACAGAGAAGAAAACAATGTGAAGATGGAGGCAGAGACTAGAGTGATGTATCTACAAAGCAAGGAACACCAAGGATGGCTGCCACCACCCAAAGCCAAGAGAGAGGCACTGGTTGTTTTTTCTCTCAGAGTCTCCAAAAGGAACCAATTCTGCCAACACACTGATTTTGTACTTCTGACCTCCTGAACTGTGAGAGAATAAATTTCTGTTGTTTTAAGCCACCTAGTTTGTGGTAATTTGTTATGACAGCCCTGGAAAATTAATTCAGATGGATTACTTTTAAAATGATACTGAACAATTGGTTATTCATTTGGAAAAAATAAAATTGGATTCCTACCTCATCGCATATACAAAAATAACCTTCAGTAGGATTAAAGACCCAAATTCAAAAAGCAAAACCTGAAAATCTTTAGAAGTAACTAATGATCATCTTTAAAACCTCAGGGTAGAGAAGAATTTCTTAAACAAGACATAAAAATCATAAATTGTATTACTCTGAGTTCTCCATGGAAATAGAGCCAATAGGATATATATCCTGTGTATCTACGTCCATATCCATAGACAGACAGACAGATAGACAGATAGGTTTAGTATAAGGAATTGACTCATGTGGTTGTGGAAACTGAGAAGCCCCAGGACCTGCAATTTGTAAGCTGGAGACCCAGAGAGCCAACAGTATAAATTCCAATCCAAGTCTCAGTCCAAAGGCAGGAGAAGGCCAGTGTCCCAGCTTGAAGATGGTTAGGCATTATATATAATGGAATATTACTCAGCCATAAAAAAGAATACAATAATGCCATTTGCAGCAACATGGATGGACCTAGAGATCATCATTCTAAGTGAATTAAGCCAGAAAGAGAGAGAAGAATGCCATATGATATCACTTTAGATGTGGAATCTAAAAAAAAGACACAAATGAACTTACCCACAAAACAGAAACAGACTCACAGACATAGAGAACAAACTTATGGTTACCAGTGGGTAAAGTGGGTAGGAAGGGATAAGTTGGGAATCCTTTTGGGAGTGAAAGCATTTTAACTATCTTGATTGTGGGAATGGTTTCATTGGTGTATACATCTATCAAAATTCATCAAATTGTACATTTGAAATATGTGTAATTTACTGTACAGGAACCATACCAAAATGAAGATTTTTTTTAAAAAAAGGAATGAAATTCTGATACATGCTACAACATGGATAAACCTCGAAAACATTATGCTAAGTGAGAGAAGCCAGACACATAGTGTGTGCTTCCACTTATATGAGTTCTCTAAAAAAAAGGCAAATTAATGGAGACAGAAAGTAGAACTAAACACTACATATAAAATAGATAAACAGAGTGTGGGGAGGGTATAGCTCAAGCAGTAGAGTGCATACTTAGCATGCACAAGGTCCTGGGTTCAATCCCCCTTACCTCTGTTTAGAAAAATAAATAAATAAACCTCAAATTGCCTCCCCCTATTAAAATTCTTTTAAATGTTTGTTTAACGGGTACAGAATTTCTATTTGGGATGAATAAGTTCTGGAAATAATGGTGATGGCTACACAACAATTCTGAATGTACTTAATGTCAGAATTGTATAACTAAAAATAGTTAAAATAGTAAATTTCACATTCTATATATTTTGCCACAATAAAGATAACAACTTATATTCCTAAGAAAATGAAGCAGAGTGAAAAAACACAAGTAATTGTATTTATTTCTTAGCTTATCCAAGAATAATTATGACCAGCATCCTTCAGATATTCTAGGCTTGCTGGATTTGTTTAGGATTCGTCTACCATGTTGCTAGGACAATCCTCCCACTTTGAATATGGTGCATTGATTGATCACACCTTTGGTGGAGCAAAGAGCAAATGATAGGCAAATGTTCTTGGGAAAAAAATGAGGAGTCAAATTATCCTTTTATGGGCAGGTATAGAGCTCGTATAGGATTGTGTAGGAGGGACATCAGTTTTCTGCTTCTAGTGAAGACAGCCTCAGCAGATATTGCAACAGGAAAGACTTAGATTAGATATCAGGGGTCCTCTCACCACTGTAGGATGAGAGGATTGGACCAGTAATTTCTAAGACCCCGCTAGCTCTAGTAGTAAGTACAAAGCTCTGTTACTGAAAAATGAATAGGCATTCACACATGCCCGGCGCCTGTGGCTTGTGTGGCACTGTGCCAAGTGCTGTTTAGCATCAGCTTATTCAACCCTCACAACGACTGTGATTGGGATTACTACCCCCATTTTACATGCAGGGAAAGAAGGGCTCAGATAACCTACATAACTCACCCCAAGTCCCAGAGCTAGGAGGGAGCAGAGCTGAGAGCCAAGGCCAGGGATGTCTGACTCCAAAACCTTACGCTCCTCACTAGGCCATGAATGGGGTCTTCTTTTGTGGAGATACTTAGGACAAGGCAATGGCAGACTCTGGGCCACAGGCCTACTCGAAAGTACCTGGTAAGATTCCTCGGAGCTGCTTCTCTCATCATGACGTCAGGTTCCCGGAGACAGAGGCTGATGATCCTGCCGCTCTCCAGAAGTTTGGTTAGAAACCGCTCATGATCTTCAAAGAGCAAACACTTGGTGAGTGTTCACCTGCCCCTGTAAATTTCTGGAGCATCCACTTCCCAGGTAAAGTGGTTGTGGCCCCGGGTGAAGGAAGGGGCAGTCCTGTTTGGCAGAGGGGTGACCCTCTGTCCTTTTGAGCTCTCTAACCTAGAATGGGCAGAACAAAAAACAAACCAAGTTACAGGGTAAAGCACCTTGATGTGGGTGACAGATCTTGCACATGGATTTTATCAGAGAACATGCTGGAATAATTTCCCATCTGTGCCTGGCCTTCTGGCCTCCAATCCATTCAATACCTTGGTGGCCTGATTAATTCTTCCAAAGCACAGCTCCAACAAGGACCCTCTCTAGCTCAAGAGACAAAGCCAAGCTCCTTGGCTTGTTATCTGAGGCCCTGCATGATGTGTCTCACCCTCTACCTCCACTTCCTACCAATCTCGTGCCGATCTCTACCTTAATCCCTGTTTCCCTCCATGCGTCACCTTTTCCCACTAGAGCAGGCTGTGACAGCCACACCTGGTTCTAATCTCCCTTCTTCTGTAATAATCTCCCCCTTTTCTTTAGAGAACTTTTGGCTCTTCACTCAGATAGAGAACTCTGTATCCTTCAGTGGGATCTATCTCCCTGGCCACATGGATTAATTCAAAGCTGGGTATGTGACCTAAACTGGCCCCTTCCAATCTTCCCTGCTACTTCCTGCTGTTGGTAACAGGGAGGGCTGTCTCATTTCTCTCTGATCTCCCATAACCCTTATGTGGACCTTTCTTGGGGTACCTAGCGCTTTCCAGCTTACTCCATGGTTATTCTTCTACTCTTCTATGAGATGGTCTCCACTCCAGCTTTCTCCAAGTGCTCTGCTTTTTGTACAAGTACTTAATTTTTCCAGGCATTTCCTGACTACCTCTTACATGCAGACATTGTGTTAGGTTGTGTGGGGATACATAGTCCCTTGTTGAATGGATGGATGAATGAAAAGGCTTCTCTGGGCCTCACGCAGCTTATCACAAGGGATTTGAGCAGCAGAAAATAGTAAAGTCCAAAGTTGTTAGCCTGGCATTCAAAATCTTCTACAGTCTGGTTCTAATTTTGTCTTCCCTACACACACTCAGCCGTGCCAGCCAAACCGAACTGTTGGTAGTCCTAGAAAACCCGGAGATGCTCCCACCTGTGTGCATTTAGCCCAGCCGCCGTCTTCTCTGACAGTCCCTCTTCCTGTTTTTCTCTTTCATTCATACCTTCCTCTTACCCCCATCCCATTTCACCCTTTTTCTCTCCCTCCTACCTCCTCCCCCTTCTACTTTCCCTCTTCACCATCTCCTCCTTCCCTTTTCCTTTCTCTTATCTCTCCCTGAGGCCTCTTTCAACACTTCCCTCTGTCCCACTCCTACCTCTTCAGTTTCCTCTCTCTTTTATTTCCTGATCTCCTTCCTGCTCTGTGCACAGTCCCCTCTCCCTGGGGGCAAAATATAGAAGACAAATCTAAATTAAACAGCTTCTAGATCTCATCCCAAGAAGCCCTCAAGTGGGGTGGGAAGGAGATGGGGAGAAATGGAGGAGAGAGGGGATCCTGGAGGCAGAGAAGAGGCTGCCTAGTGACTGCTGGCAGAGAGCATTGTGTCAGTTACCTACCTCCAACCCACCCCCAGCTCTTCCTTCCTTCCTGTGATCACAGAATTTTGAAAAGTCAGAACTGCAAGAATCCTTGACATTCATCTACTCTGCCTCCATAATTTTGCAGCTGGGAAAGTAAGGCACAGCTCGAAGAACAGGAGCACAGAAATGGAAAGCAATTAGCTCTAGTCACCTAGCAAGTCAGTGGCTCAGCAGGAACAAGTTCAAGGCCTCCTGCCCCCACCCCAGACCAGTGAGTGCCCTTTCACCTGTACCTTCCTTTAGTCACTAGCCCTTCCCCTACCCACCAGGTTTGGGATTACATCTAAGGATTCCCAATCTGCCTTCCCACCCTTTTCCTCACCCACAAGTGTTAGGCCCAATGAAATAGGGGCAGAACGGACAAACCACATCAGGAGGTCCAGCCCTAAATCTTAGGGGTATTTGGCAATGGTGGGATGGTGAACATGTCCCTCTGGCCTGTAGGGGACAAGTCTCCTCTTTGGAGAGCTTCATTATAAGCAAGCAGCCTCTGTGGAGTTAAGGGACGGACTGCTGTTTTGTCCCGGCAGGACCCCTCCTCACCCTCCCAGCCTAGCTGGCTGCCTGGAGGACCTACCTCACTCTGCCAGCGCCAGCCGTGGACTTGAACAGAGGCCACCCAGGCACAGGATGGTCCAAGACTGACGGTGGAGGCTGCTTGAGACAGGGGGAGGGCAGAGTTTCCAGCAGCTCCACTTTCAGTCCTGCGCCTCTGCTCCACAAAAGGCCACTGTCTGAGGACAGAGGGACCCTGGAGGGAGGCCTCCCAAGGTGCTCAGCAACAGGGCCGGGTTTCATCACACTGGGCCTCCAGGCCAAGTAAACATCAGGGTAGGAACAGGCCCAGCAGTTTCTGCAGACAGGATCCTGGCTCTGGGCGAGCTCAGTGGCATCCTCACCCAGGGCTTCCCCAAGACAATAAGGAGGGCCAAGTTCATTTGCCCAATTTTCTCCAGAAATGGAGTGTTGGGATGAGGAACTGACTCTATCCTGGTCCATTTCCCATTGTTCAAGGAGCAGAGATCCATCCTACTCCCCTCTGAAGAAGCAGAAGTTTTACAAGAAATTTTAAAATTAGTTGAGGAAAAAGAGAGCTCTGTGAGCTTGAGTAATCAGGGAAGACTTCCTAGAGGAAGTGTGATTTAGGTGTGATTCTGCCTCTGGGTGTAGGTAGACTCTCCAGAAATGAACAGGAAGGAGAAAGGTATTTCATACAGACAGCACAGAACTGGCAAGTTGTGGTGTCTAGAAAGCAGGAGCATTTGGGGTTAATGAAAAGATCTATTTAGCTAGGGTAGAGAATTCACATATGAGAAGGTAGGAAATAAGAATGGAAAATTTCATTACGAATTAAACCACAACTGGTCTTCACAGCCAGGTTGAGGAGTCTTTATAGTTTCTGAGCAGAGCAGTGATGGGGTGAAACCAGAACTTTTGAAAGCTTAATCTTAAAATGTTATGAGAGAGGCCCTAGGTTGAGCCCCAATCCTCTAGATAACCCTGGGCTGGTTATGGCCTCTCTCTCTGGTGCTTGGTTTCTTCATCTTTAAAATAAAAGGGTTATACTGAGAATCCTGAAGCCCCTTCCATCTCTAAAATGCATGGATTCTTTAATAGGGCCACACGGACTATAGAAAATGAAGGGAGGAGAGGCTGTGGCCACACCCTGGACACCTCTGGGCTGCATTTCGGCAATGAGTCATCTGCTTAGAGCTGTGGAATGGCCACCACTACCGCTTGCAGGCACTGTGCTAAGTAGTCCACTTTTTCACAAACTTCATTTTTGTGACTAGGAAATGCATGCACATACTGCAGCTTTTAAGACATAAAAAGATTCATGTATGGTAAAAATAAGTTTCTCTCTTTCCAGCCACCTATTTCTTCTCCCACTGTATCTTTATCCTTTCAGAGATACCCCATGCATTTATAAAGATTCCATAGAATATTTTTCATAATTGGTATTGTAAAGGTTATTTTGGATTTTAGCCCTAATAAGTATATACGGATATTTCACTGACATTTTAATTTGCTTTTTCCTAATCTCAGATGATGCTGAGCATCTTTTCTTATGCTTATTTGCCATTTATGTATCTTTTTGGTGAGGAGTCTGTTCAGATATTTTGTCCTTTTAAATTTGGAGGATGTAATTTGTTCCATCTGAAGAGTTTTTTGGTGTGTATTCTGGATACAAGTCCTCTATCTGATATGTGATTTACAAATATTTTCTCCAGTGGGTAATTTGTGTTTTCATTCTTTTAACAGTGTTATTCACAGAGCAAAGTTTTAAATTTGAATAAAGTCCAATTTATTTTAAAAAAAGATTCTATAGAATATTTTTCTTTACACAAACGGGAGCCTACTATATACACTGTTCTGCATCTTGCTTTGCTTTTTTAACTCGAAAATTCTGGAGATCTTTTCATATGTGTATATAAAGAGCTGCGTCATTCTTTGCATGGCAAGACCATGATTTATTAAACTGGTCCCCTATGGATAGATATTTTGGGTGTTCCTTTTCTATTGTAAACTATGTATCAATGAATATCCTGAATGTACATCATTCAGCATATGCTGGGATAGGTCTACAGAACACATTCCTAGAATTGAAATTATGTGCTAAGCTCTTTACATGACTTAATACTCACAACAAGCATTTAAAGTAGTCATAATTATACTGATTATGCAAATGAGAAAATCGAGGAACAGAAAGATTCATTGACTTGCACAAAGTCACAAAGCTCCTGTGTAACAGAGTTGAGATTCCAATATGGACAGTCTGACACCAGAGATAACACATGCAATCATTCCACTAGCAGTTCTCAAACTTCAGCACACATCAATGTCACTGAGGGCCTGTTAAAACCTAGGTTACTGAGTCCTACCATAAGAGTTTTTGATTCCTCTCCATACTACCCAGACAGGACTTCATATAGCATTGTTCCAGATTCCCACAGTAACCTAAAGAGAAACTTTCACAATGTCCAGAGCCCTTGATGTCCTGCAAATGAAGGAGGAGGATGTCCTCAAATTCCTTGCAGCAGGAACCCACTTAGGCAGCACCAACATTTACCTCCAAATGGAGCAGTACATCTACAAAAGGAAAAGTGATGGCATCTACATCATAAATCTGAAGAGAACCTGGGAGAAGCTTCTGTTGGCAGCTTGTGCCATTGTTGCCATTGAAAACCCAGCTGATGTCAGAGTCATAGCCTCCAGGAATACTGGCCAGCAAGCTGCGCTGAAGTTTGCTGCTGCCACTGGAGCCACTCCTACTGCTGGCCTCTTCACTCCTGGAACCCTCACTAACCAGATCCAGGCTCCCTTCCAGGAGTCGAGACTTCTGGTGGTTACTGATCCCAGGGCTGACCACCAGCCTCTCACAGAGGCATCTTATGTTAACCTGCTTACCACTGTGCCATGTCACACAGACCAACCCCCAACCCCGGCGCTATGTGGACATCGCCATCCCATGCAACAAGGGAGCTCACTCAGCGGGTCTGGTATGGTGGATGCTGGCCCGGGAGGTTCTGAGCATGTGCTACACCCTCTCCCGTGAACACCCATGGGAGGTCATGCCTGATCTCTACTTCTACAGAAATACTGAAGAGATTGAAAAGGAAGAACAGGCTGCAGCTGAAAAGGCTGTGACCAAGGAGGAATTGCAGGGCGAATGGACCACTCCAGCTCCTGAGTTCGCTGCTACTCAACCTGAGGTGGCAGACCAGTCTGAAGGCGTGCAGGTGCCCTCTGTGGCTGTCCAGCAGTTCCCTACTGGTACATATTATGATCCTCATGCATCAGGCTGGTGGCTTAGAACTTCTATGTTTTAAATCCATCTTTAATGACCTCTATGGCTGTACATGTGTGTGTGTGTGTGTGTGTATACACATGCATACACATATATATATATACATAGTGTGTACACACACACACACACTCTAGCATTAAAAGGTTTCATCCCAGGGTGCTATAACTGTGTTAATAACATGACAGATTGATTTCAGGTGCTTTTGAAATGATCTGTCCTTAGTCGTTGTCCTTTGAAATCTGTTGGAACACAAGGCAGATTGCTGATGGAGCGGAGTGACAAATATTATGGGAATGGGGCTGATAGCTTTTTTTCTTTTGTATTTTCCTAACAGAAGACTGGAACGCTCAGCCCGCCACTGAGCACTGGTCCACAGCTCCCACTGCTCAGGTCACTGAATGGGTCAGAACAACCATTGAGTGGTCTGAAGCTGTTCTTCCACAAACTCTTAAAACCGAAATAGGTTGATGGAAAAATAAACAGTTTCTTTAAAAGAGAGAGTTTCTGATTCGGTTCATCTACGGTGGGGCCCAAGAGTGTACATTTCTAACAAGTCCCTGTGTGATCACTCTTTGAGAACCACTGTACTCTTCCCCCTTCAGCTGTGCAGATTGTCCAGAAAGAAAGCAGCTGGCACTCAGTACCTGGCCTTGACAAGAGCTAAGAGGGACAGGAAAGGCTTCCTGGAGACAATATGTCTAAGCTCCATGAGGGCCCCGCACAGTGCCTGCTACAGAGTAATTAATAAATACTTGGTGAATGAATGAATAAGTAAATGAGGTACAAGGGCTCCAAGCAACATGTTGCTGCCTCTTTTCCCAGCCCCTGGGAGCCCCTGCCCTCGGGAATCTCCACTGCCCACACTGGCTAAGATCCAGCTTCATGCTGTGAGAACTGCTATGGACTGAATGTTTGTGTCCTCCTAAAATTCACATGTTGAAGCCCTAACCCCCAATGTGATGATATGTGGAGTGAGGGCCTTTGGGAGGTTATTAGGTTTAGAGATGGTTTTACAAGTGGAGCCCTCGTGATGGGATTAGTGTCCTTATGAGAAGTGGAAGAGACCAGAGCTCACTCTCTCCACCATGTAAGGACACCGTGAGTAGGCGGCTGTCTGCAGGCCAGGAGAAGGGCCTCACCAGGAACCAAATCCACCTGCACCTTGATCTTGAACTTTCTAACCTTCAGAACTTTGAGAAATAAATGTCTGTTGTTTAAGATCTCAGTCTACAGCAGGCTAAGCTAAGAGCCCTTGGGAGCAGAGCTATTTATTTCCTCCCATTCCTCCCTTGGCTTATAATGAAATCAATGAGGCGGCTAGGTCTCTGTGATTAATGGAAAGGCAGCATCTCAGAATGCTAGAGCTCAACTGAGATACGCTAGTCCACTGCTCTCATTTATTACTACTAATAGCAATAGCTATAATTCATAGCACACCCATGCACTTGACATGCTTGCATTTTTTAATTCCCTCTAATTCCCTGTATTTCCTTTCTCTTTATTCTGACACACAACCTCTTTCCATTCCATGCAGTTGATGTAGCCAACACACACACATACACACACAGACAACACACACACATAAACCAGGGGAAAGATTTAAATCCGGGAGGAGATCTGAGATCGGGATGCCCCTGTGCAGAGCAGCGAGGAACTGACAGAGACATCCCTCATACATGGAGGAACAGTTTTCAGGATCTTGCATTGTGGCACCCACACCAGGTGCTGACTCTGTTACAGAATTAGATGCCTGAGCTCAGGGCCACGAGGACCTCCACAGCTTCCTCCTAGGTGGCCTCAGATCCTGCTGCCTCCCTCCCCACAGGCTTCTGTCCTGGGCTCCCCTCCCTGTTGGTGCCTGAGCTATGGATGCTCCAAGGCCAGACTTAGAGCTGAAAATGTCTAGGTCCTAGGCCCCCGCACAAGCAACACATCAGAAGCCATTTATTGGGCAGCTGGAGTGAAGGAGGTCACTTGGGAGAGAATTTCAGGGGCCAGACTCAGTTGGTCAGCCGTACTTCAGGCAGCAATCTGACTCAACTGACATGATTGAATGCAAAAGAGGCAGCTATCAGATGTCAGGGTGTAGCCAGACCCTGACACTGTCTGTGAAACTGAGTCAGACAGAAGTGGTCATGGAGGGACAGACAGGCAGACTCGGTCCTTTAAACCCTGTCCCTTAGATACAGTTAGAATCAGCCAGGAGCAAACTCAGCCATGCAGTCTGGCAGATGCGGTCAGTCCACACTCAGGTGGGCTGATCCTACCTGTCAGATGCCCAGTCAGGCAGACCCACCAGGCCCTGAGGCTGTAGTGAGGCCAGTGCAGTCAGGGTAGCCAGTCAGCTTGTCGGCCAGCCAGTCCGAAGACTGGGGCAGATGCGCAGGCCTGTATGTAGTCAGAATCAGCTGGCCAGGCTCAGTCTGCCTGGCCCCTTCAGCAGAACTGGGGTCAAAAGGCCCTCACAGAGGAATCTGTAAACTGGTCAGCCAGTCACAAAGGGCTTCGGTCAGTCAGATACAGCTTGTCGAGCACAGATGGAGTCTGGTCAGTTAGATGCAGTTATATCGACTCAGCCAGACACGCCCCATCAGGTCCAGATGCCATCAGCCAGATAGGGGCAGTCAGTCAACTGGTCAGGCTGACAGATCACGCGGCCTTGGTCCGTCAGGCACCCATGAAATCTGTGTTCAGTCAGACACAGCCAGACAGACGCGGATTATCAGGCGGTGATGGCGTCTGTGGTTGGCCAGACACAGTCAGCCGGTCGGATGCAGTTGGTCAGGCACTGACTGAATCAGTCGGAGCACCCAGGATGCCGTGGATTCCCGGGACTGGGGCCCGGGGCCCTCCTTCTGGGCGGAGCCTAGCTTGGAGGCGGGGCCTCGTTCTGGGCGGGGCCTCATTCTCGCACAGGGCCGCCCCGCCTCTCCCCACCCGGCAGCCTCTGGGCGTTGCTATGGCAGCTGCGAACCCAGCTGCGGTCGCTTGGTCCCCTGTCTGCGGAGTGGAGGTCCCGGCCCTGTGATGGTAGTGTGGTGAAGATTGGCAGGCCGCGCTCCGCACAGCGGCAGAGGCTGCGGCTTGGCGCATTTGTCATCCCCTTGTACAGATGGGGATGATTGGGAGACTGGGAGTGACGCACGTCAGGCGACACAGCTACACAGTGACAGAGACTCAGAACCTCTGCATCCTGTGCTCCTCACCATAACCCTGCACTGCCCCTCAGGAGGAATCTGACTTCCCTAGGCAAAGGGGGCGCGTCAAGAAGGGAAAACAGTTCAGACAAAGGGGTGTTTAGGGTTCTCTGGGCTTAATAATGACTAGGGCAAACACTTACCTTGAACCAAGCGCTATAATAACAGCACCAGGTACAGTAAATTCACTTGAAACTCACAATTTTCCTCTGAGGAAATAATAATGATTTCCTTTTTACATATGAGGAAACTGAAGCATAGTAGGGTTGGTGACTCGACCAGAGTAAGGGGATTGTGAGGTGGGGGAATCAGGATTGGAACTCAGGCAGTCTAACTCCTAACGTTGGACCCTGGGCCCTCAACCCCTACCTTCTGGCCCTTTCCTTGTGACCTCTGAGGGCAGAGCATGAGCCCCCTTCAGCAGGACCCAACCCTGTCCTGAGCCCTGCAGCATGAGGGTCCTCTTTGAGCCTCTGCTTCAAGGATTCACAATAAGGAGCCATCAGAACCAGGAACCTAGCCAAACTAGAGGACAAACTATGTGTCTGTCTCATTGAGTTCAGAGAAGGGAAAGACTGTGAGATCAAAGAAGCCAGGACCCAGAAGCCACTGAAAGCTGTTGCTGGGAAACCCTATGAGCACAGCCTCAGGGCTTCAAGTTTAAAGATCTTTGAACAAATTCCAGCAATGTCAGCCAGGAGTTTGAAACACATCATGGGTCATAAACTCAAATGCCTACAAAGGCCAGAAAGATAATGAAAGTCAGGAAAATGAGTCAAGGGACCAGACTGGCAAACCTTCCCCATCTAAAAGAGACACTGCCTCTGAGCTCCTGCTCACCATGTTTTCAGGCACCTGCTGTCTCTAGTCCTCTAGTTGGGTGATGTTGGCTAAGTCAATTAACAGTCTCAGTTTCTCAGTCTGTATAATGGGAAGAAAAATTTGGCTTTATCTCACAGGGTGAAGTTTTATGGCAATTAAACACGTTTTTGTGTATAGAAAATATTTTGTGAGCTGTCACGTACTCTATAAAGTGGAGGGGGAATGAAGAGGAGGTTGACTGAACATCTGTTGAACATCTGCTATGTAGTCTGTGGGTGCTGACAGCATTCCTCTAGGCAGGGCTTAGCATCTCTCTTATACAGAAGATGTGAATGCCTCTCCAAAAATATGCTGATTTACCCAAGGTCACAAGCTTGTGTGTAATGGAGTCAGATTTAGAATTTAGGTCTGTTCAACCTCTAAGACCAGTCTCTTGCACCAGATGTTTTGCAAAATGTTGCTTGGGTCCTACTAGTTGCATCAAGATGATTTTAGATGGAACACAAGTGAACATTAAAATTTAAAAAAAAATTTTATTAAAGTATAGTTACTCACAATGTGTTAAGTTTCAGCTGTACAGCAAAGTGATTCAGTCATACGTGTGTGTGTGTGTGTATATACATATATATATACTTTTCCATTTAGATTATTACAAGCTATTGAATATAGTTCCCCATGCTATACAGTAGGTCCTTGTTGTTTATCTATTTTATATATAGTAGTGTGCATATGTTAATCCCAAACTCCTAATTTATCCCTTCTCACCACCCCTTTCCCCTTTGGTAACCATTGTTTGTTTTCTATGTCTGTGAGTCTCTTTCTGGTTTGTATATAAGTTCACTTGTATCATTTTTGAGATTCCATATATAAATGATATATATCTGTCTTTCTCTTTCCGACTTACTTCACTTAGTATGATAATCTCCAGGTCCATCCATGTTGCTGCAAATGGCAATATTTCATTAATTTTTATGACTGAGTAATAATATTCCATTTTATATATATATACATTATATATATATATACACACACCACATCATCTTAAAGCAATCGTCTGTCAATGGACATTTGGGTTGCTTCCATGCTTTGGCTGTTGTAAATAGTGCTGCTGTGAACACTGGGGTTCATGTATCTTTTTGAATTGGAGTTTTCTCTGGATATATGCCCAGGAGTGGGATTGCTGATCATATTTTTAGTTTTTTAAGGAACCTCCATACTGTTCTCCATAGTGGCTGCACCAATTTACATTCCCACCAATAGTGTAGGAGGGTTCCCTTTTCCCCATACCCTCTCCAGCACTTATATTTGCAGACTTCTGATGATAGCCCTTCTGACTAGTGTGAGGCAATACCTCATTGTGGTTTTGATTTGCACTTCTTTGATGATTAAAGACATTGAGCATCTTTTCATGTGCCTGTTGGCCTGTATGTAGTCTTTGGAGAAATGTCTATTTAGGTCTTCTGCCCATTTTTTG